TGGTCTTACCACGACATGAGCAAAGTACGCGAGACCATGCTCACTTCTAAGAAGTATTCCGACTGTATTCATCCAAGACAGATGGATTTGTTCTGCTGGCAGTCCACAGGGAGGCTTTGTCAGACTGAACCATTCCCACAGGGCCAGATGGATGACCAAGATGGAAGGGACAGGAGGGTTAGGGTTAGGGTTAGGGTTAGGGCTGGTGGGGTTGCTTGTCACTCCCACGCTGGTTGAGGCCTTCTCCTGCCTGACTCAAGGGAATTAAAACCAGATGACTGCTGTCCTGCCTGCGGCCAGTGCACCCACAGAGGGGGGCACGGGGAGGAGACAGCTGGGAGGGGGAGGGGGGAGAGGGCATGGAGGAGGGGGCAGTGGTGGAGGCGCTCCGAGGGCTTGAGGGAGGCCCCAGGCTCCGCTCACCTCAGGGCTTGGAGGGACACAGTTAAAGCACTATGTGGTTATCGCATTGTCTCAGTCCCCTAGTGCTGCTAACAGAAACGCCACAAGGGGGTGGCTTTCATAAACAGAAATTTATTTTCTCGTAGTTCGGGAAGCTGGCAGTCTGAATTCAGGGCACTGGCTGTAGGGGGACGCTCTCTCTGTCAGCCGTGGGGAAGGTCCTCCTCTCTTCGGCTTCTGTTTCTTGGCTCCCTGGAGAGCTCGTGTGGTATGGTGTCTGTCTTCCCCCATCTCTGCTGGCGTCCTAGCTTCATCTGCTTTTATATCTCAAAAGGTGTAAGACAACCCTACACCAACACTGCCTCAGTAAAGAAGAAAACCCATTCCCAGATGGAGAATAGAAGGGTTGTGTGTGCACAGGGAGACAGCTTGGGGGGCAGGAGTGCATAGAGGGAAGGACACAGGGAAGAGGTAACTGGGGAGGAAGTGGGAGGGGAGCTGTTGCATTGTGGGAGATTGCAGTCAATGTCATGAGACAAAGTGTACGTGAACTGCTGTATGGAAAGGGAATTTGCTCTCTAAACTTTCACCTAAATCATAATACAAATTAAAAAAAAAAAATTCCCAAATGGGATTATAACCACATGTATCCCTCAAAAACTCACTGCCATCAAGCAGAGTCCACTCATAGCAACCCCCGCTGGGTTTCCAAGGCTGTAAATCTTTACAGAAGCAGACTGCCCCGTCCTTCTTCTGCAGAGCAGCTGGTGGGTTTGAAACACCAACCCTTTGGTTAGCAGCCAAATGCCTTAACCGCCGTACCACCAGAGCTCCTTAACCACAGGTGTAGGGCTTAGAATTTACCACACGTATTTCGGGGAACACAATTCAGTCCCTAACACACATACTTAGCTGAGTCCAGCCCTCTCTCCCACCAAATGTTGAGCCTCAGGAAGGCAAGGCTGCGTGAGCCGGACCCCACTGCCCCCAGCAGAAGTGCAGACTGACCCTCAGTGGAGCCTCAGCCGCATGTTGAGTGAACGAGCTCTATTCCACATTTCGGACTTTTCTCCGGTGAAAGGAGAGAACAGGACAGTGGCTGTCTGAGGCCCCTTGCAGTGCTAGAATTCTACACTGTCCACTGGGAATAGTAAAGGAGATGAGGAGTGATGGCTAGGATTTCTATAGCAGGTTCTTTGCCCAGCTAGCCAGGGCCTTTCTGAAGCAGGGATGCCTTTCTCTGATTCTCTAACTTCAAACAGCTCCCCACGTGGTCACTCATGCTCCAAGTATTCTGGCCTTTGCACCGTGGACCTATCTACTGGGGCAGCAATGCTGTTCGTGGACACCTTCCTCTCCACTCTGGACTCCAGGAACTGCTATCTGAACGGGATTTCATACACCCACTCGTCACACATCGATGATCTCACTATCTAACATTTTGTATTTATGACAACAGTAAAAAGTCTCCTATCCTACAATCTTGCACATTGACAATGTACGTCTGGCAGGAACAAGTGTCGAGGTGTGAGGTGAGTAACGCGGGCTGTGATGGTTACAGTGTGCCATCTTGGCTAAGCCATGATTCTCAGTGGTACGGCAGTTCTATAATGATGCAGTCATCCTCCACTTTGTGGTCCGATGTGGTAATCCTCCATTTGCACTTGACACCGATTTTTGCGTAATGGCCTGGTCTTTGGAACCCAACCACGTAGCTAAGCGAGGAGCGGGTGTACCCTTGACCTTAACCACAGAGGGTCAGCAGGACAGGCCCACCCTCTGCCCAGCTCTCTCTAGTTGGAGGAAGCCCCCTGGGGTCATGCAGGGACATGGAGGTGGGGTCAGGAGCTGTCACTTGTAGCTCTCCTCCCCCCTCACAGTGCAGCTTGGTGGGAGGCACTGAACTGATTCGGAAAAGTGTTCTCACAAAATAGGGGATCCGGCTACTAGTTAGCGATTTGCAGGCCACCTTTATTTTTAATTGAAGTTAGAATGGCTTTGGGTGAGGAGTACATGCGTCCCAGTGGCTCTAACCCCCTGCTTTAGAGTGGACTCGGAGTCATGGCGCCTGCACGTGTCAGAGTAGACCACGCTCCACAGGCTTTCGATGGCTGCTTACGGACGTAGATTGCCAGGGCCTGCTTACGCCGCACTGCTGGGTAGATTCAGACCGCCTTATTCCCGTCCTCACTGTCCTCCATCAAGTGGCCTCGCCCAGCGGTGCGCCTGCGCAGCCTCTGAAGGCAGTGGAGGGCCACCCGCAGAGCTGCCCTGAGACCGCAGGACCCAGCCCAACGGCATTCAGATAATCCCTGCAGCTCCCGTGTTTCGATCTCCAGTCTGTGCCCCCAACTCCCGAGAGCAGTGCATGCTCGAGGTGGGGTCTACAGACCACCTACCACCTGCCTCAGAACCACCTGTGGCGGTGAAAGTGCAGAAAGACCTGCCCCCCACCCCAGGAATCGGTATCTGGGGTGTCAGGCCGAGGGTCTGCATCTGAACGAAGCTCCTTGGGTGATTATAATTCACACCAAATTTTGAAAACAACTAAAGTCTGGCATATATAAACCTTGTATACTGATTAGAGGGGCAAAAATAGCTACGCAAGCCAGAAAATCAAGAGACGTCATAACACACTGAAATTCATCTCAAAGTTTATTTTATATCTGGAATATTTAAGTTTTCACACAAACTTAAAAAGTAGCCACTTGCCACTTTACATACAAAGGACTGAAAACAAAATTATCAACTTATAGCAACTCAGCCAACCAGAAGCAGCGGTGAGGAGGGTGGTAAACACTAAACATACGACCCGAGTGGCCCCGTCCACAGCCTCCAAACATGGGGCGCTCACTTGTTTCTTCAATACATTCGTTTCTAAGGGTTGAGAATCCCATCGGCACAGACTGTCCTGTGAACAAAGAGTGCAGCGGGAGGGTCTCCTCTGCTCAGAACTTGAGGAGCGGGGACTCCACGTTCTCCTTGTCAGCGGCAGGGCTCAGCTGGATGAGAGGAGAAGCCAGGTCTATCAGCTGGAAGACAGGGACGAGTTGGTGACTGCATGTCTGTGGCAGCCCACCCTCCAGCCCTGCCGGCCACACCCTTGGAGGACTACAGCCACCGGGGCGCCCTCTCCAGCTGTGGCATGGTGCCCTAAGAGCAACTCAGAAAGCCTGCTTTCGGGGCCACGAAAAGGCACATTGACCGTTGTGTCTAGGAAGCTGGCAGGAGTAAATGTCACGTAACGAAGGCCCCAGAGCCCCTTCAAACCGTGTTCTCCCTCGTGCTAGCTAAGGCACCAGGGGCTGGTGGGGTGGGAGCGCTGGGACAAGTCCCAGGAGGAAAGGGGCTGCACAGGGCTCCTCAGCGTGGTCAGTAATGGACGGCACTCAGGCCACCACGAGGGACTGCGGCGCCGAGCTGCCTGGCCCTGAAAAGCCATTCCCAAGGCTCACTGTGACGTGCGCTGGGCCTAGGGAGATGCCGAATGGAGACCGCCAGGGGCTGAAGACAGCAGTGGCCTGGCCCTGGTCACCCAGCCCTCACTCCACCCTGGCCTTCCCTCCTCACCACCACCTGGCCCCCCTCCCACCTGGCCCCCCTCACCTGG